GGTGGAACCAACCAATTCACTCACCGGTTCGAATCGGACCATTTGCATAGACCTTGAACTAGTTCGCATTCGAGTGAAAAAAAAAAAAAAAACAAAAAAAAAAAAAAAAAAAAAAAAAAAAAAAAAAAAAAAACACCTTTGGATTTGTCATTTAGTCATACGTATTTCACAAGAACAGACTGGATGTCGGGGCGATCGGAATGTGGGACATCATCGATGTTTACGTCCCCTTGAACATGCCACCGAACCACAACACCATTTGTAGTGAAAGTTACTGTGTTGTGTTGGAAGTCAAGGACAACCTCATTGGCTCTAAGCCAATCCACAAGGTCTCCGCCTACCAGTAATGAGGACATAAACATTAATGTTCTCGTTATAGCCTTGAATTTCCATATTGATACATGTCTCCCCTTTTCTTGGGACGATTTTATCGTCACGAAGACGAACGGGGCAAGACGGTCCTTTAACGAGGACCCCACGACTTCTGGCTCTGTTTTCATCCAAAAGAGAAACAGTCGCGCCCGTATCAACAAGAATCTTTGCTTCGTCCCCGTCTATTCGACCCACCAGCAATAAGTTTTGTTGATGCTTTGGTCGAATGGGGCATGCAACAATGCGAGTTGGTGGAAGGTAGTATGCCTTTACATTGTGTTTTGCTCGACCATATGATCGGCTGTCAGGCCACCACATGTGATATCCCGTATCCCATGCGGCAAGTACCGTCCATCCCTTAAGCATGGGAAAGTGTTTGCCTTTGATTGTGCAAGTCACCGGACTGATCGAAGTCAATAAGTGCTCTTGGGTGCAACGACCCACCAATTCCATCACGCAAGGCAACGCATCAATGTTGCAGCAAATGACAAATAATTTGTCTCTGTGTGTTTCGATAGACAGTTGTGTAAGTGGGTGCAGTAGAGGTAGAAAAACATAAATTTCACTCAAAGAAGAGGCACACAAACAAAGGACGTAAGCCTCATCACCTCGATCTACCTGTCCAGCTAGGTACCCACACCCTAGTTGGACTTGTGAAAATCTTGGTGCAAGCCTGAAGGTCCGGCACCCCCCTTCTTGTTCGCCTGCTATGACTTGCCAGAATTCTCAGCCTTTTTCAGCATACGGCACTGCCCCCTCGGATGACCAAACTTCTTGCAGTAGGTGCAAAAGGGAGTTCCATTCCTCTTGCTGGCCACCCTTGTGAAAGGGCTTCTTAGGCTGCGGCCCATTCTGCTGGCTCTGCGGCTGGAAAGGCCTCTTCTTCCAAGGGCCCTTCCCATTAGAAGGCTGCGCCGCATTGTTCTGGCCACTAGGGCCTTCATCCCCGCCCTGCAGGTGACCCTTGGCAGCACTAAGGCAGGTACGGACGCTCACGTCGAGCTCAATGACAGCTGTTTTGAGCTCCTTATACTGCGCTTGCAGTGTCGTGCAGGTCGATTCAAGGATGATGCACGTAGCATTCAGCTGCTTCAAAGTTGCCTCAAGGCGCTTGATCTGGTTGGACTTGAGGCCAAGAGCCCTCCTACTTTTACGAGCCTCGGCGGAAGCTGTGTCAAGCTGAGCCTTGATAGTTTCGATTGAAACTTTCTGCGGAGCAACTTGAGCCTCAAGCTCATTGACCCTGCGCTTGCTCGACCACTGTGGATCGAAGTTTTTCAAACTCCTCCGGAAATTTGTTATCCGTGTCGAGATCATCAAGCTCTTCCTGTTCTCGATTCTCTTCCTGGTTTCCCATTGCTTCTTCCTCTTCCACAGGAAGGTCCCCTATGATGTCCTCAGCATCAAGGCCAAGGTCAGGAAATTCTTCCTGTTCCTCAACTGAGGTCATAGGGACATCCTCCCTTGGTGCTTCCTCATTAGGAGGGGCCATAGAGGAGTTATTAGGAGTTGGAGATGAAATATGATCTCGATAAGAGTCCTCTATCGCTCAAAGTCATAGGCAATAAATTCTGAAAGAAAACCAGAAATCTTTTGAGTATATCAATATTCTCACAAAGAGAAATTTACGTAAAAAAAGTTAAGAGAGGGTTCCTCAAACTGCTCAAAGGGCAAGTTAAGAGGAATCTTTTTAGCAAATCTATTAGATCTGTAATACTCGGCTATTATAATAACAGCAATGAGTCTTCCACCAAGAAGGTGGGCAGAGAATAAATTCTCTTAAAGTCATTGAAAATCCATGAAGGAATCCTTAGAAGAGATCCTTGAAAACATCTTTTGATCTTGAGAGTTTCTCAACTCTTCTCTTAAGAGCTTGAGACTATTCTAGATCTAAGATATAGAAACTCCTAAATAACAAAATCTAGTAAGCCATACAAGGCCAATGATAACCAATGCTTTGAATACCAGATGTAACACGGGCTTATAAGGAAACGCCCTTAAAAGTTGATACGCCCTAATGCTATCCTTGAGTCTTGAAGAGTTGATAGGTGAGGCCTTGAGAGTGGAAGGGTAGCTTCACGAAGAGAGTTGCTAATGCATAGAGCACTTGTGAGGAAGAAATCTTGTACTTGGAGAAAATATCCCATTTTCAATTTGGTTAAAGCTGCGGTCTACATACTTGGAGCAGCTGGGGAGGGAGAGATAATCACTTGAAAACAGGGTTACTTTGTGCCTGCGGGAACCCCTGCGGAAAAACCAACAATCGAGGCGGAAGTGTTGGGGGGGTCTGGGGGGTCAGGTTAGAAATTGACCCACTCCAAACCAGTATGTATACCAAAACAGAAGGGCTGACGGGAGCCCCGCTTCACTCGACAGCTAGCCTCCAACACGTAGGGACTAGAATTCATAGCCAACAGTCGCGTTTGGAAGCCAGCAGCGCCCAGCCCTCCCACGACGTTTTAGCGACACAGTCCGCACCGACCGCAGGCCTTTTATCTCAACCGCGCTCACCAATCCCCCTTTCCCGCTACGCCCTCTCTGCCGCATTTCTCCAACGCACGTTGCATCGCGTTCTGCTCTCCGCGCGTCGCCTACTTCTGCTCATCACGGGACCCCGCTGCGAGTGCTTCGTGCTCCACGCTTGGTTGCGTTGGCGCGTCTTGCCGCGCTTAGGGTTGGCGCTTTCGCATAGTAGCCGATCACCACATTTCGCGAGAGCTCGTCGCCGCTACGCGACAAGGCAGTGAGCTCGTAATTTCGCTCAGAATGAAAAATTCCGCCTCATTCAGCGGCGGAATTGTTGCATTCCCGACGTATTGCATTCGTCCGCGCAGCACGGCCAGAATCGTGGGCCATCAGCTCAGCGCTAGCGCGGTCAGGTTCTAGCACATTGCTCCCAATTTCCACCGCCCCATTCATCGTATCGCTCAATATATCCCCTTTTTGCACGCCTCTTACAGCTTACACTTTCCCTTTCCCGCTATCCGCTGTAGGCCTTAGCAGCATTCACATCCCGCTTGCCAGGCCCGCCTAGCGCATTCAAGACCCGCCATCCGCGCGCCTCAACAGGCAGTCGCAACTAGCCACGAAACTCAGTGACCAATTTCAACGGGAGCAACAAATCCCTTCATGCCCCCACCGCGTACTCAGATCATTCACCTCACGCACACCGCACCACCTGCTCATTCACCACCATTTTTCCCTCTCTCCTGTCAGCCTTATGCCGCGCGCACCCAGAATCCAGGGGTCCTTTCTTTTTCCGTCCCTTCCTCAGCCCGCCTTCATCCCACAAACATCGCCCCATCCTTGCATCTCTGCCTTATTTCGCTCTCCCTTATTTATGACGGCGTGCATCACCACCCTCCATCATCTCTGCCGTATCCACTCCGTAGCTCCCTCCTTGCCGTTACTCTCGTTTTAGCCTCTCCCATTATCTCTCTTCTCCCTAATCGTCACGCACCCTTCCCCCTCTGTCCCTTGCGCCTCCCTTGCGCTCCTCTTGGCCCGCCTTGCGCCCTCACGCTTACCTTACCTCCCACCCCCCACCCCCCTCCCCGACCACATGCGAGCATCTCATATCTCCACCACGCTCCCTTCTATCCCCTCTCGTCTCTCTGCCATGCTACCTCTCGGTTCTCCGCCATGCTCCCTTCTCTCCCCTCCCCCCCTGTGATCCTCCCTTGCTCCATTCTCTCCCATCCCATATATCCGCCTTGCACCGTTCTCTCCCCTCTCGTCTCTCTGCCTTGCTCCCTTCTATCCCCTCTCGTCGCTCCGTCTTGCTCCCTGTCTCCCCCCCCTGTGACCCTCCCTTGCCCCCTTCTCTCCCCTCTCATATCTCCGCCTTGCGCCCTTCTATCCTCTCCCATATCCGCCTTGCTCCCTTCTATCCTCTCCCATATCCGCCTTGCGCCCTTCTATCCTCTCCCATATCCGCCATGCTCCCTTCTATCCTCTCCCATATCCGCCTTGCTCCCTTCTATCCTCTCCCATATCCGCCTTGCGCCCTTCTATCCTCTCCCATATCCGCCTTGCTCCCTTCTATCCTCTCCCATATCCGCCTTGCTCCCTTCTATCCTCTCCCATATCCGCCTTGCGCCCTTCTATCCTCTCCCATATCCGCCTTGCTCCCTTCTATCCTCTCCCATATCTGCCTTGCGCCCTTCTATCCTCTCCCATATCCGCCTTGCTCCCTTCTATCCTCTCCCATATCCGCCTTGCGCCCTTCTATCCTCTCCCATATCCGCCTTGCTCCCTTCTATCCTCTCCCATATCCGCCTTGCTCCCTTCCATCCCCTATCGTCTCTCTGCCATGCTCCCTTTTATACCATCTCGTCTCACCGCCTTGCTCCCATCTCTCCCCACCTGTGCCCCTCCCTTGCTCCATTCTCTCCGCTCTCATATCTCCTCCTTGCTCTCTTCACTCCCCTCTTGTCTCTCTGCCTTGTTCCCTTCTCTCCCCTGTAATATCTCTGCCTTGCCTATGTAGGCTAAACCCAGTTTTCCCTCTCCCTATCCCTATTCCCCCAGAAAATTCCCTTCTCTCCTCATGTGCCCATTGTTGTCTCGCTGTCGGCTTGCCCATCATCCCACTCTCCCCATCCGCAGTTAACCATCTCCCTCCCAGCTCATGAGACGGATGTGTGGCGTAGGGGCAGGGCGTTGACTCGTATGGTAATCACCTCGTTAGAGACCCTGCCATTTCCATAGTGGCGAATGCGCGGTGACGCGGTAGAGAGTGGGGTAAGAGAGGGTGGGGCACCAGAGAGAGTTGCAGCAGTAGCGGGGCAGTAGAGGCTGCAGGAGCACATGGAGGGCCGGCTGAGATGGAGGGGGCTGAGGGAGGGGCTTTTGAACAGAGGGGCGGCAGATGGAGGGGCAGCAGGGGGCGGGCCAGCAGAGCGAGGGGCGGCTGAGGGTCTGGGCAGAGTGGGTAGGTGGGGCAGAGTATATGCAGCGGATGGTGTGGCGTGGGGGAGGCTTACCATACGCTCCCTTCCTGCGTTATAGCGATGCAACTTGGAGAGGTTGCCTTCCTACCTATGTGGATGGGATGGGGTGGCGATTGGAGTGCTGTGGGGCAAGGCCCTGCCTGTTTGATATCATGGGGGTGTAGGTTCACGGCCATGCTTCTGTGCATGCAAACAACGTTTCCCAAAAGCTACAACCTGGCAATGGCTCCTATCAAGGGACAAACGCTTGATGTACAGTTTCATTCCACTACTTGTTTCATAGCCTTTCATGCAGTTGTGTAGCACATGTCGAACTCAATATCCTGTGTGTCACTTACTAATGCCATTACAAACAGTAGACCCATGTCCGAGGGTTATACAACCAAGTAAGCCATCGCTTTACGAACAAGGCACATGCTCCCTTCACCGCTTGCATCATGCCATGCAGCAAGCTAGTGGAAGAGAGGGTGCCACTGACGGCGAGGGTGGAAGGGTGATTGGAAGCGGCACTTGATAGGGCTCCACTCAAGCGGCACCTGCTACAACCTGGCTCCACTCAAGGAGACATGGGGAGGCAGGGAGGTGAGATGGGGAGGAAGGGGCACAGTGAAGGGTAGCGGGGAGGTGGGAGGAAGACAAGGGGAGGAGAGGATGACAGGGGTGAGAGAGGAGGACAGGGGGGAGAGAGGATGACAGGGGGGAGAGAGGATGACAGGGGGGAGAGAGGAGGACAGGGGGGAGAGAGGATGACAGGGGGGAGAGAGGAGGACAGGGGGAAGAGAGGAGGACAGGGGGTAGAGAGGATGACAGGGGGGAGAGAGGAGGACAGGGGGGAGAGAGGGGGACAAGGGGGGGAGGAGGACAGGGGGGAGGAGGACAAGGTGGGGAGAGGATGGCAGAGGGGAGCGAGGAAGACAGAGGAAGAGAGAGGATGATAGAAGGGAGAGAGGATGGCACAGTAGAGAGAGGAGAATAGGGGGGGGAGAGTAGGACAGGGGTGAGAGAGGAGGACATGGGGGACAGAGGAGAGCGGGGATGGGAAACGGGGGGTAGGGAAACGGGGGTAAGGGAGACGGGGGGGAGGGGAAAGGGGGGACGGGAAAAGGGGGGACCGGAAAAAGGAGGGACTGGAAGTGGGGGGATGTGAAACGGGGGGAAGGGAGACGGGAGGAAGGGAAGCGAGGGGAAGAGAAACGGTGGTAGGGGAACAGGGGGGACGAGAAAAGGGGGGTCGGGAAGTGGGGGGGAGGGGAACAGGGGGAAGGGAAACGGGGGAGAGGGTTATGGGGGGAATGGAAATGGGGGGAAGGGAAATGGGGGGACGGGAGGACGGGCTAATGGAGGAGAGGAAGGGTGTAGAGAGGGTAGGACGGGATGAGAGGGGAGGACGGGAGCACGATAAAGCAAAGGCAGCTAGTCGTGAGACGGAGTGCAAAATAAGAGACCATGTGACACAATAGCAACACTGTATCCAGCGGAATGGAGCATGAGTGTGGCAAACAGGACCTGGAAGCAAAGTGTGGGCGCCGCCATGAAGTAGTAGAGGTTGCGCACCCTGAGGCTCATCGGGTTTGCACCATCGACGCCAGGGGAGTGGACTGGACGGGGAGGGGATAGGAGGGGGGTGAGAGGAGGACAGTGGGGACGGAGGAGTGGGGGGGGACGGAGGACAGGAGGGAGAGAGGAGGACAGGGGGGAGATGGGGAGACAGGACAGGGGGGAGAGAGGAGGACAGGGGGGAGAGGGGGGGACAGGACAGGGGGGAGAGAGGGGCCCAGGACAGGGGGGAGAGGGGAGGACAGGGGGAGAGAGGAGGACAGGGGGAGAGAGGAGGACACGGGGGAGAGAAGGGGACAGGACAGGGGGAGAGAGGCGGGCAGAAAGGAGAGTGGGGAGGCAAGGCGGCGATGAGTGGGGAGGTGACACGGACAGGATGGGAAGCAGCGCGGAGGCGACTTTGGCGAGGAGGCGAGAGGGTGAGGAGGATGCGACGAGGCGGATGCTGCCGATGAGGCAACGTGGCGCGTAGGTTGGTCCGTTCGCGATACGGCGAGGTGGCAGCGAGGCTGCTACTACCCGAATGGGTCGCTCACATGGCGACGCGACGAGCAGGCGTTGACGCGGTGAGGATGCCGCAATGTGGCGAACAGACTGCTGCGTAGATGCGACGACGCAGCGATGTTGCAAAGAGACGTGGCAGGCAACGCTACGGGCGGCGGCGTGGAGGTGCGAGGGGGGCGGATTAGGAGATGCGACGAGGGCGATTGGGAGATGCGACGAGGGGGAAGGCCGACAGAGGGGAGAGAGGATGACGGATTGGGGAAGGAGGACAGGGGGGAGAGAGGATGACAGGGGGGGGAAGGAGGACAGGGGGGAGAGAGTATGACGGGGGGGGGAAAGGAGGACATGGGGGAGAGAGGATGACGGGGGGGGGGAAGGAGGACAGGGGGGAGAGAGGATGACAGGGGGGGGAAGGAGGACAGGGGGGAGAGAGGATGACGGGGGGGGGGAAAGGAGGACAGGGGGGAGAGAGGATGACGTGGGGGGGGAAGGAGGACAGGGGGGAGAGAGGATGACGGGGGGGGGAAAGGAGGACAGGGGGGAGAGAGGATGACAGGGGGGGAAGGAGGACAGGGGGGAGAGAGGATGACAGGGGGGGGAAGGAGGACAGGGGGGAGAGAGGATGACAGGGGGGGGGAGGAGGACAGTGGGGAGAGAGGATGACAGGGGGGGGAAGGAGGACAGGGGGGAGAGAGGATGACAGGGGGGGGAAGGAGGACAGGGGGGAGAGAGGATGACAGGGGGGGAAAGGAGGACAGGGGGGAGAGAGGATGACAGGGGGGGGAAGGAGGACAGGGGGGAGAGAGGATGACAGGGGGGGAAAGGAGGACAGGGGGGAGAGAGGATGACAGGGGGGGGAAGGAGGACAGGGGGGAGAGAGGATGACGGGGGGGGGGAGGAGGACATGGGGGAGAGAGGATGACTGGGGGGGGATGAGGGAGGTGTGCAAGTCAGGTGTGCTAGAAATGGGCAGAGGAGCAGGGGATTGGAGGGATGAGGAGGAAATGCGCGGATTCGTGTGAGCGCAGTTGAGTGCACGATGCACTTCCCTCCCGTTACCCGCACTCGCCACGCCTCTGCCCCTCGCACCCTCGCTGCTGCCACGGGACTACTGCCACCTCACTCACTACGCACTCACCACTACTGGAGGGCGGCTCCGAAGAGGTTCGGAGGGATGAGGAAAGGCTGGCGCGTGAATGGGCGCATCTCGCGCACCTCGTCAAACGTGCAGATGGCGGTTCCGTGGCGGTGACGAGGCTGCAGGCGCGGGTGGCTGATGGGGGGAGGGGAAAAACCAAGGGAAAGTAGTGGGGAAATGGGGAAGAAAATGGTGAAACGAGGGGAAGGAGGGATGGGAATGAGGGCATGGAGGGGGGAAATGGGGGGAAGGAGCGGGGGACATGTGGGAAAGAAGGGGGAGAGGGAAGGGAGGAGATAGATTGAGCTGAGAGAGGGGTTGGGGGGGATAGGAAGATGGGAGTGAGGGACGGGAGGACATAGGAGGAGGAGGTGCGATTTGGGGGAAAAGGGAGGTGCGACCTGGGGGAAAACGACGTGCGATATGGGGGAAAAGGGAGGTGCGACCTGGGGGTAAACGGAGGTGCGATATGGGAGAAATGGGAGGTCCTTTGGTGGGGGAAAACGGAGGTGCGATATGGGGGAAAAGGGAGGTGCGTTTTCGTCGTTCGCGGAGGTGCGATATGGGGGAAAAGGGAGGTGCGTTTTCGTCGTTCGCGGAGGTGCGATATGGGGGAAAAGGGAATGCGATCTGGGGTAAAACGGAGGTGCGATATGGGGGTAAAGGGAGGTGCGACCTGGGGGAAAACGGAGGTGCGATTTGGGGGAAAGGGAGGTGCGAATTGGAGGGAAACGGGTGAGGCTACTCGCGGGAATCGCGGCTCATAGCGTGGGGGCGGGAATCAGTCGCCGCGAGCGGGAATCGCGGCTCTACATACTTGGGCGTGAAGTAGGCGCTACGGTACGCGCAGCTGGCCAGAATCGTGGATGTGAGCGGGTTGGCGCTAAACATACTGCACGCTACACGCTGCTAGCAGGAATCGCGGCTATCACAGTGGCTGCGTGAAACTGACACTACATCCGTCGCCACATCATCCCAAAAATGGGGCTGATCGAAACCTACCGTGAAGCTACTATTTAGTTACTTCTCGGTTGTTGTCCAGGAAACAACTTTCTAGTTACTAGCGAACCTACTGTCTGGTGGTGATGCGAGGTTGGGCTGCTCCGAACGTAAACATACGGGAGAGTTACTTTGTGGCAGGAATGAACTTGTGTGCAGCGAAGTCCCCACGATTACACACGAAAAGCAGTAACTCTGCTTTTGCGACTGATGCGGCTTACACCCATTTGAACACGAAAAGCCGAGTAACATCGCGTTCCCTGAGCTGTGACCTTTTGACTGGCTGGGAAGTCATGTTTGCACTGGGTTGCGTCGAATGAGCGCATTTCGCGCCAAACACTGACAGAGACTTTGTCTTGTTTATCATTGGTCAAGTATACGACACCTGTCAAGCATAAACCGAACAGGTCAGACAACACGACCGAACCTGGGGATTACACGTTTCAGCAAAGGGCACAAGGCAAATGCACGCTTGTGCAACACGTCGCAGTAATTTTCTTGGGGTTTGCTGACGTGTGCATCTAGTGCGTCCCCAAGTGTCGCTATATTATTGACGCAGAGAAAGTGTGTGTTACAGTTACGTTGTTGTTGATAGGGTAACATTTATTTAGCTTTTTTGTTTATTCCTACAATTGTTTTTATATGTTTTGTACTGGTTCTATTTATGCATATAATTTAAATTACTCATGCATTATTAATACGATTATTTATTGCTAATACTACGCAACAGGGTTTCTGAACAAATTACTACGACACACAGACTACGACGCAAACACTGCTGCAAACACATGGCATCCTACGCTTTCCAAAAGGTGAGGCTTAGGGACCTTGCAACCCAGGCAACCCTGCGCATGAGATAAACACCCTCTCGGTGGTTGCATTGAATTTCCAAGCAGCCTTATCAGCCTCCCACCACGGGCCCGTAATTGCGCTCCTATTCTGAACGGCGAACGCGACGGCGTTGTGGACCTTCGAATGATGAATCGTCAATGCATTTCGGTTGTCAACCGGGCTACGCGGCATTTCTTCACCGTTGATCAACTTGTATTCGACCTGCAACAAGAAATGGGTTGGGGTGATTATAACGTATGTCAAAAACCAGCATCGCGACACTGCAACTAGACAAAACACCTTGTTAACACAACCACCCCATGGCTCAACATACCCCCAGCAGAAAAAAGGCAAGTTGCTTGAATCGGAGCACCACAAAGGAGTGCCCCGGCCTCTGGAACGAGTAGAATACTGCAGTTGTAAAGAAGTCCGTTGAGAAGGGCAGCCCATCGTCATTGAAGTGCCACTTCAGCAAGCCCCATGAAATCGCATCTACTCAACAGTGGAGGTGATAATGGGGGGAGAAAATATGCGTTGGTGGATGCAATAGATTGAGTGGGTGGGGGCAGGTGTTTTGAGCGGAGAAATGAGGGTGAGAGGCGCTGCATAAACACACAGAAATGGCTGGCACTGCAGTGGCGTTAAACATGTGCCTGCTGGAAGTGGACAAGCTAGAAGGACTACAGCAGGGTACAAGGGGGGGAAGGGGCAGGGTTAGTAGGAAGCACTAGGGTTTAGCAGTGAAACACACATGTAAGCCAGGTGCACTACAGTAGGGTTCAGGTGTTCCTGCTGGAACGGGGAAGGTGGGGGCACAAGGGAGGGAGGGGCTGGTTTTAATGAGACACCATGGCCTTGTGAATCACGCAAGGTGCCCTCCAGTTTGCCCTCAGGTGCGCCTGCTGGAATGGGGAAGGTGGGGACACAAGGGAGAGAGCTGCTGGTTAGAACAAGGCACACAGCCCTTGCTGAGAAGCCCGCAAAAATGGCAGGTGCCCTCCAGTTTGCCCTCAGGTGCGCCTGCTGGAATGGGGAAGGTGGGCGCGCAAGGGAGGGAGCTGCTGGTTAGAACGAGGCACATGGCCCTTGCTAAGAAGCCCGCAAATATGGCTGGTGCCCTCCAGTTTGCCCTCAGGTGCGCCTGCTGGAATGGGGAAGGTCGGGGCGCAAGGGAGGGTGCTGCTGGTTAGAACGAGGCACACGGCCCACACTTTGAAACCCACAGGGAGGGCAGGTGCCCTCCAGTTTGCCCTCAGGTGCGCCTGCTGGAATGGGGAAGGTGGGGACACAAAGGAGGGTGCTGCTGGTTAGAACGAGGCACACGGCCCACACTTTGAAACCCACAGGGAGGGCAGGTGCCCTCCAGTTTGCCCTCAGGTGCGCCTGCTGGAATGGGGAAGGTGGGGACACAAAGGAGGGTGCTGCTGGTTAGAATGAGGCACACGGCCCACACTTTGAAACCCACAGGGAGGGCAGGTGCCCTCCAGTTTGCCCTCAGGTGCGCCTGCTGGAATGGGGAAGGTGGGGGCACAAGGGAGGGAGGGGCTGGTTTTAATGAGACACCATGGCCTTGTGAATCACGCAAGGTGCCCTCCAGTTTGCCCTCAGGTGCGCCTGCTGGAATGGGGAAGGTGGGGACACAAGGGAGAGAGCTGCTGGTTAGAACAAGGCACACAGCCCTTGCTGAGAAGCCCGCAAAAATGGCAGGTGCCCTCCAGTTTGCCCTCAGGTGCGCCTGCTGGAATGGGGAAGGTGGGGGCGCAAGGGAGTGAGGGGCTGGTTTTAATGAGACACCATTGCCTTGAAAATCACGCAAGGTGCCCTCCAGTTTGCCCTCAGGTGCGCCTGCAGGAATGGGGAAGGTGGGCGCGCAAGGGAGGGAGCTGCTGGTTAGAACGAGGCACATGGCCCTTGCTGAGAAGCCCGCAAAAATGGCTGGTGCCCTCCAGTTTGCCCTCAGGTGCGCCTGCTGGAATGGGGAAGGTGGGCGCGCAAGGGAGGGAGCTGCTGGTTAGAACGAGGCACATGGCCCTTGCTGAGAAGCCCGCAAATATGGCTGGTGCCCTCCAGTTTGCCCTCAGGTGCGCCTGCTGGAATGGGGAAGGTGGGCGCGCAAGGGAGGGAGCTGCTGGTTAGAACGAGGCACATGGCCCTTGCTGAGAAGCCCGCAAAAATGGCTGGTGCCCTCCAGTTTGCCCTCAGGTGCGCCTGCTGGAATGGGGAAGGTGGGGGCGCAAGGGAGGGAGCTGCTGGTTAGAACGAGGCACATGGCCCTTGCTGAGAAGCCCGCAAATATAGCTGGTGCCCTCCAGTTTGCCCTCAGGTGCGCCTGCTGGAATGGGGAAGGTGGGGGCGCAAGGGAGGGAGCTGCTGGTTAGAACGAGGCACATGGCCCTTGCTGAGAAGCCCGCAAATATGGCTGGTGCCCTCCAGTTTGCCCTCAGGTGCGCCTGCTGGAATGGGGAAGGTGGGCGCGCAAGGGAGGGAGCTGCTGGTTAGAACGAGGCACATGGCCCACAATGTGAAACCCGCTAAAATGGCAACGGTTGGGGTTTTTTGCCCTCAGGTGCGCCTGCTGGAACGGGAAGGTGGGGGCACAAGAGAGGGAGCGGCTGGTTAGAACGAGGCACATGGCCCACACTTTGAAACCCACAGATATGGCAGGTGCGCTGCAGGTTGCCAGCAGGTGTGCCTGCTGGAAAGGGAAGGAAGGGGCACAAGGGAGTTCGGGCTTTGTGAGAACGAGGCACAAGGGTCTGTATGGTCCCGCAACAATGGCAGGTGCACTGCAGTGGCAAAAGAGGGGGTGAGACAGGCGTGGGGGGTAAGAAAGAAGGCGTGGGTTGGGCTTCGTCTTACCAGCAGCATGCTCGGCACAAAAGGCTCCAGGAGAGAGGGTTCCGACCACTTCCCTCCCGCGATCCGGTCGAGCAATGCGGATGTTGAAGTGCTCGTACAGCATCACACGGCCCATTGTGTGGACCTTGTTGCGGGCATCCTGCTGCTGCTTTCGGAGGTGGCCCGGGCGCGTTTTCTCGTTCTCCATGACCAGCCGCACTTTCGCCACGTAGTCAGCGTCGGTGATATCGATAGCGGTGCAAAGTGCGGTGATGTTGGTGTCTCGCGGCGTCCAATACTCAAGGTCGACATCGGGCGTCTCGAAGTACATGATTTCCACTGCACGCTTCGCCGCTCCCTGACGCCGGAGCAAGGGGGGTTTAGGGTGGAAGGGGGGAAAGATGAAAGGGAGGGGAGTGGAGGGCAGTGGCGGGGAAGGGGTTGGGGGAGGCGGGAGCTTTGGATGATGGGGCGGATTGGGATACGTGTGAGGTGAAGAGGCACAAGGGAAGGCGCATATGCATAACACACATGCTGCTGGATGGTTCCATTCTAATTTAGAAGGGTTCACGCGAACTACCTCCACAACAAGCATGCACTCTAACCAACGGACCTTAAAACCGTTGTGCATGTCGGGGACGCCCGCCAAGGCGGCGGCGTAGCGGTGAGCCCACGTCAGCTGCATGCTTGACAGTTGTTGCAGGTCCAGTATGACGCCTCGCTTGTGCGCCAGCTTCACCGCGTTTTGGATGGCATTTCGGTTCGGCTCCACACGAAGGACGCTGGGGACCGGTGGCAGCATAGTAGCAGCTGCCACGCCGTTATTGCGCGTTGCGTTCCCACCCGCACCTGCCTGCCCGCTCCCATCCGCCGGCGCATCCTCGGCTTGGCCAATGTCAGGGGAGTTTGCCGGGTTGCTGCTGCCCTCTCCTCCATTGTTGGGCGGTGAGTTCGTTGCAGCCCGCTGCATGTTGCGTCGCTCGTTCTCATAATCCATAAGGCGGCGCCGGAACTCACGGTTCTCCCTTTGCGTGTCCTCGAATTCGGCTCGAGTAACACTGTCGATGATCTCGTTCCCCTCCTCTGCATCGGGATCTGCCGACAACAGCACAAATCCAGGATTGGGCATTTCAGGCTCAATCTCCGGAAACCCTTCGGGATCCGCAGGTTGGTCATATTCTTCTTGGTCTTCGTCATCACTCAGATCAAAGCCCGTGAAAGGCCTCGATGAGTTTGGCTGCTGCTGTACATGGTCATTGAGTGGGGATGGAAGAGCTGATGAAGCCTGCTGCTGATGCAGAGGCGCCGTGGGCTGCTGCTGATGCAGAGGCGCCGTGGGCTGCTGCTGATGCAGAGGCGCCGTGGGCTGCTGCTGATGCAGAGGCGACGTGGGCTGCTGCTGATGCAGAGGCGCCGTGGGCTGCTGCTGATGCAGAGGCGCCGTGGGCTGCTGCTGATGCAGAGGCGACGTGGGCTGCTGCTGATGCAGAGGCGCCGTGGGCTGCTGCTGATGCAGAGGCGCCGTGGGCTGCTGCTGATGCAGAGGCGCCGTGGGCTGCTGCTGATGCAGAGGCGCCGTGGGCTGCTGCTGATGCAAAGGCGCCGTGGGCTGCTGCTGATGCAGAGTTGTTGATGGCTGCTGCTGATGCAGAGTTGCTGACGGGTGCTGCTGATGCAGAGGCGACGTGGGCTGCTGCTGATGCAAAGGCGCCGTGGGCTGCTGCTGATGCAGAGGCGCCATGGGCTGCTGCTGATGCAGAGGCGACGTGGGCTGCTGCTGATGCAGAGGCGACGTGGGCTGCTGCTGATGCAGAGGCGACGTGGGCTGCTGCTGATGCAGAGGCGCCGTGGGCTGCTGCTGATGCAGAGGCGCCGTGGGCTGCTGCTGATGCAGAGGCGCCGTGGGCTGCTGCTGATGCAGAGTTGTTGACGGCTGCTGCTGATGCAGAGTTGCTGACGGCTGCTGCTGATGCAGAGTTGCTGACGGCTGCTGCTGATGCAGAGTTGCTGACGGCTGCTGCTGATGCAGAGTTGCTGACGGCTGCTGCTGATGCAGAGTTGCTGACGGCTGCTGCTGATGCAGAGTTGCTGACGGCTGCTGCTGCTGCAGGGGCGATGTGGGTTGCTGCGCGTGATGAGAAAGAGACGACGTCCCGTGCTGTTGCAGCCCATTGGCATGCTGATGCAGAGTTGAGGGCGGCTGCTGCAGATGCTGGCTATCACCAGGCAAAGAAGATGCAGAGTTCAGCTGATGCTGCAGCCCATTGGCTTGCTGAGACAGGAAGGGCGGTGGGTGCTGCTGATCCTGGCCTTGTGTCCCCAAGTGCTGCAGAGCTACACCGACTGGTCTGGCACCAGGCGGCACAGTAGCGCGCCTCCCACCACTGCGGCGTCCGACAACGGTCCGCACAGAGTTCGATGTTGTTGAAGCGGGCAGTTGTGTCGATCCCAGTAGCGAGGTGAGAGACACCATCCGTTCGCCTGCACAAAATGCAGCACGAATGGCGTCAGATGCGGAACAAGGGCTAAAGGACTGGCACATCAAGGACTGCAACCGTGAAATGCAAGGCTCACACTTTGAACGATACGGAAATGGAAGGCTCACCAGTAGTGGGCGTGGTGGAAGCAGCTGCACCGGCCGAAATTCCAGCAGGGGGCTGACCTAGGATACGGACTGATTCCAGTGCTGCTGCGAACCTGCTGTGCTGTCCTTTAGTGGGTCGATCTGAGCGTCGTGGTCCTGAGGATGCCATAGTAGAGGAAAAACAACTTTGGTCAGTTTGGAAAACTGACTGAAAGTATGTTTTCCCATTCTATTTATAGGGAACGCTGCTTAGATTAACCACGAGATCAACCTAAGCTCAGCTAGCAGATCATCACGATTAACGATAGGCTAGTTGATCAAAGGCGTCATGGTTCAGAGAGGTGTAGAGTGGCATCGACCATCTCTGATTCAAATTTCGAAAGTTTAAGAAAGGAGGCTCACGTAACTGCTCCGCGGTCGTGTCTGTGGTGTCGCGCGCGGGGTACTTTAGCAGGAGCGTGACTCAACCGAGACAGACGAGTGCATTGCTGAGTTGTCTCGGGTACAACTCAGCAATGCCTTTCGAAACCCCATTGGTGTGGGGAGAGGTGAGCTAGGGTTTCACGCTATGGTCGCTATTGCCTGGCAAGCTTGGTCCCTACACGGGGTCGTTTTGCAGCAAGGCCACACAAACGGTGTGGGTAAGGTATAAGGTCGAGCCGCTAACGACCCTGAACAACTTCGAACTCACTAGAAACTGGCAAATCGAGAAGAATAAAATGTCATGCTTAAATTGATCTCTAAAAAAAAAAACACTTCTCAATGTTGCCTTAATAGTAGCCACAAATTTGTCTAAGTGTTGCAAGTGGTATGATTGCAATTGATTAGGTTCATTGAGCCCCTCTGATTTTGAGTAAGTAACCTACTTCATCTCGTTGGCTGTTGTGATGCTCCCACTGCAAACATGTGTCGATAACTGTTCAGGGATCATAATCATGTTTCTTGTAGTCAACAATATCAGAGATCTTACGAACGGTGGAATGGGAAAGTCAATTCCATTGCCATAGAACCTGGTTTGGGCTCTTTTGCACAACTACGCAGCATGTAACGCTTGTTTGTGCGTCGGATGGCCTGAAACTGTGCAAGGACTGGCCGGTACGCTACATGTCACCGTTTTGTCGTTTTGTTGTTTTCTTTAGCACCATTTCTTCACATATTCAGTTATTTCACTCAATTCCGTTGCCATAGAAACTGGTTTGGGCTCTTTCGCTCAACTACGCAGCACGTGACGCTTGTTTGTGCGTCGGATGGCCTGAAACTGTGCAAGGACTGGCCGGTACGCAACATGTCGCCGTTCCATCATTTGGTTGTTTTTTTTAGCACCAATTCTTCACATATTCAGCTAGTTCACTCAATTCCCTTGCCATAGAAACTAGTTTGGGCTCTTTCGCTCAACTACGCAGCACGTGACGCTTGTTTGTGCGTCGGATGGCCTGAAACTGTGCAAGGACTGGCCGGTACGCAACATGTCACCGTTTTGTCATTTGGTTGTTTTTTTTAGCACCATTTCTTCACAGGTTCAGTTAGTTCACTCAATTACATTGCCATAGAAACTGGTTCGGGCTCTTTCGTTCAACTACGCAGCACGTGACGCTTGTTTGTGCGTCGGATGGCCTGAAGCTGTGCAAGGACTGGACGGTACGCAAGATGTCACCGTTGTCATTTGGTTGTTTTTTTTAGCACCATCTCTTCACAGATTCTGTTGGTTCACACTATTCCCTTGCCATTGGATTTGGGCTCATTCGCACATCTACGCAGCACGTGACGCTTGCTTGTGCGTCTGATCGCCTGAAACAGTGCAAGGACAGCCCAGCGCGCAACATGTCACCGTTTCG